TTAAATAAAAATAAATAAATCGAAGCTCTAGTTTCTTTCCCGGTTATATTTTTAATGTGAGATGCATTTTGAAACAAACGCGCACAGTACATAACTTTTAAAATTGATTAACTAATTTTTAAAATTTAATTTAGAATAATCGATAAATATTTCCAGCGTTCTAAAAAAACAATAATCTAATAAATTTGACTCATTATCTATAACAAGTAAAATATTTTTGACTTAATTAAAAAAATGTTTTGTTTATTAACACTTTCACACACAACTGTTTTATTATTTGAGGTTGATTTTAAAATGTTTGAGTATACAAAAATTATTAACTATCATGCCGATTGTAATTAATCGTAAAATAAAATTATAAACAAAAGAAAATTCTATAGATAGTTGACTCGGTTATATCGTTTGAAGTAGAATTTAAACTGTTCAACTAACTATAGTTGTACAAATATAGTTTAACAGGTGTATAGATTTGTTAAAACGTACAGCTTCATATTATATGCTTTTGACTAAACGTTTTCAATTAAAATTCGACCTTACCGCATTGTCTTAACTTATTATACATAATAGTAAATGTTATTCATAAATTGTTCTACATCGAATTTATTCAAAATTATCTTAACTATAATAATAATCGACAAACTACTAGACTTCAAGCTACAATATATTTAGTTCTTTCTTTGCATGATTAATTTTTAATCAAATGGTGTATAATTAAAAACTAAAATGTAATTTAGTTCTTGTTTATTATATGCCAACAAAATATTGACAACCTATGTTGTTAATTAACTTAAATATAATGTTTACAACTGCTTCAAATTTGAATTCAATTTGTGTTCAGTGATACCTTGTAAAATTAAAATATACATTTACCGAATATTAAGCTGTTTAAAAGCTTTTTATTTTACTACCAAAAATTACATATTTTTTGAATACATCTATGAACATCAATTTTGTTGCATTTTCTATAATAAAATACGTTTTCCGACAGGCAATTCAATACGTTATATTATACGAACACTGAATAAGTTGACCAAAAAACTCATTGTAAGAGTACAATACGAAACGTGGATTAGGGTGAACATTAAAATGTCTATAATTTAGTTTTGCTATTGATTTTAGTCGATTTATTCCCTTCGCCAGCGCCAAAAATGTTAATCTTCACGAACAATTTTAAATCGGGTTTTTTACCCGAAAGTCGTCAAGTTATTCAAGTTATTTTTAAAAATAATTGATGTGAACGGTGAATTGTACATTTTTTCAAATGCATTTGTCTACAAATGTTTGTGTACAAACATATTCCTACTGTATACAGTTCTACATACGTACTTGTATAATATTACACTTTTATTTTCGACGACTTATTTTATTGAATACTGAATTGTTCAACAACGCAATTCATAGGCTAAACATTACTTTTTCAATACGTATATAAAATATGTTGTAATACATCAATATTGTGAAATCAATATTAATCAATGCGAATTAAACGCATTATTGATTTGAAAACTATATTAGGCATAATACTTTTTTGAATAAAAAATAAATTTTATAATATCCATTAACTATTAAGAAAAACGTTATAACCTATTGTTGGTTCATAAAATGTTATCAAATTATCAGCATGGAATGATATTTTTTTAAATAAAAGGTGGACAAAGTATTCAAAGTAATTTTAATCAAGTCGCAAATATATTTTCGCTGAAGGTATATTTTATTTATAAACATTATATTTTTAAAATTTGATTATTTACTGATTGAACAAAAATAATATTTTCGGTCTGAAACATATTGATACTCAATTTAACATTAAAACGATTTTTCTACTATTCCAATATGAAAATCAAAGTGCTCGCAAACTTCAGCTGGTTATCATTTATTTTTTATCCAAGATTGATCATGGACCTGAATAATTATTAAGCTTCACATTCACCAAATCTCCCATGCTTTGATTATTATATTGGCACTGTCCGAACAATTTATATTTTTATTTATATAAATTTTTCAATTAAAAATTAATTCATTTCTTTCAATACAATAATTGGTTAATAAAATATTTTTTTTATTTTAAAAAAATATATTCTATGTAAAGGAGATTTTTCTTCTAAAAAATGTATGTATTCAACTTGTACATAATTATGTTGAAAATTGTCAAGAGTATAAACGCAGATGAAAAAACTATTTTGACCACTCGAAATTACATTTTTGATAGCTAATCACTGATGGAAAAGTAATTGGAATAATATTGCAAAATGTCAGTAAGATATAGGAACCGCATAGTTACAAATATATATATGGTTACCGAACAAATAAAAAAATTGTATGTCCAACTGGAGAAGTTTCATCCAATTTTCAGAACACTTAACTTTATAAATTATTCCATATTTACACTGTATGAAATAATGTAGCATTATTATAACACAAATTAGTTAGTTAATTCAAATGATGTATGTTTGTACATGGTAAAATATATAAAATAATATAAACAAAATTATATATTATTATAATTATTATTATTTATATTATTTACTTTAACAAATATAAGATAATATTTGCATGAAAAATCTTTATGATGATAGAAATCATAATATTTTAAGTACGCCGTAAACCTATTGTAACATAACTTAAACATTTTAAATTAATCAGATTTTTAATCATATCAATAAAAAATTCTTTATGTTTTCATCGCATATTCTCTTAAAACAGATTTTTTTCCATACGAATATTATATTATATTGTCTCAACAAATAGTTTACATAGATACTAAACTCATTTTAATTCTATCTATCTTCGATTATAATATATTTTCTAATAGCAAGCGCCTACAATAGAACTTTTATAGTTATATCATTGTAATCGAATGCATCATTATATCATAACATAATATGTACTCGTAATTATGAAATACCTAATTAATTTAACGATAAGGAAAACCATGAAAAGTTGCGCACATATATTTCGTTAAATGTCCTATGATAGAATATATTTATTTTTACCAGTTTTATTCAAAATTATGTATTTGACATCAATTTATAATTAGGTAGTCAACGATAAATTTTATACAGAGCCTATAAATAATAAGCAGACAATGTATGTTTTGAAATATATTTACAGCAAAACCTAAACGAATTATTGTGATGAATATTTTTTTGTTTATATTTCTAACTAACTCGTAAGTGCATTTTCTTAGGATTTTAGGATAAAGAGACTGCAATTATGTTTTATAAATATATATATATATATATATATAGATGGTATGGAGCTATTTAAATCATCTAAATTTAAATATTAAAAAATGTAAATGTATGTATTTTAAATTAAAAAAAAATCTAATTATTTTCCATTATTCTATTTTTTATACTAAAATTGAGCATATCCCTGATTTTAAAGATTTAGGTAGAGTTTTTGATTTCAAATTAAATTTAACTTTATACATAGAAATGATTAAAAACAAAGCTATGCGTAACCTAGGATTTATTAAACGTATTTGTAGACCTTTTACTGACACTAATCCTTTAAAAATCTTTTATTGCTCCCTTTTTCGCTTTAATTTAGAATATTGCCATCGCATCTAAACTAATAATACAATGAACAAACTACTATGTTAGATAGAATCGGCTCAAAAGAATTTTCTCCGCTTCCTTTCATTTAAATATAACATCTATAGACCTCTACAAAGCTCTTATAACAATATTATAAATTCCCTTAACTAATTTCGTACAAAAATGTCTTCATAAATTAATACTAGATGATATTGATTTTCTAGAAATTTTATCTTTAATACGCTTTAGAACCCTATGCCATTTTATTCTATATTTTCTAATAAACATTATATTTTAAATTCCCCAGCTAATATTTTAATGGATACTGGTAACACCTTTGTTTATGATAATTTATAATGTTTCTTTCCTTTTTACTTATTTTACAATATTATCTTTATATTTTTTTCTCGTTATATTCGCTTTAATATTTTCATTATGATAATAACATTTTCCATGGTAGGTATTATAATTTACCCAAAATTTATACTACTGTAAAAGGTTTCATGAAAGTATATTAAATTAAATAAATAAATGTTTGCTTTTTACACGTTTTCGGCAGATCTTGTGAGCGACAAATGTAATAAAATATAATCGTCACGTGAAACACCATGTAGCAGTTAGCTTTTTTTTTTTTTTTTCTATATTCAGTGTGTCGTACACGTGAATTTTTACTACAAAATAAAAAAAAGTTAACATTTTAAAAACGATGTAGCTCTATAGTGGAAAAGAAAAATTATACATCAAAACGCTAAGATTTTAAATTTAAAATCATTACCCACTATAAAGTATAGTATGCCCCTTCACAGTGTCCTTCACTACTTATTAATATATAAATAATCATCGTTATATGGACGAACTCCCACGTTGTCATGAAATACATGAAATATACACACATATGATTACAACACGAGATATAGGCACGTGAGACTTTTTGAAGTAATATATGTACCATATCTAATTACTTTTAGATGTTAATCGTCATATGATTTAATTTTTAGTCGTTTCATAGGCCGACCGTGTATATTTTATTATATGGTATAATTTCGTAAAAATCATTAAATACTAGACTAATCTCATGATTTTATATAATATCAAAGCCAAAACTCTATGTAGAAATATAAAACCTCTTCCCGGAACACGCATGTAAAGCAGCTCAAATCACTCAAGATATAATATTTTTCCACGTAACAAAAACCCAAACGGTTTGAAATATAAGTATCATGTAACGGGAAGATTTTCTATAGTATTTGCAGTACTTGTGTTGAATTTCGGTATTTCATTTTGGGGTAAAAAAAAAAGTGCAAATCACTACAAATCGTATTTCTATTATTAATTGTCGTTTGAGCATTAGTAATCTGGAACTGGCACTCGGCCCACAGCATATGATCTAGGTAAAATATGTTTGGATGTTTTTTATTTTACTATCCTTCTTAGTTTTAAAATTAATTTCAATAGACTTACCATTGCATAAATGACGCTGGCATAACATCCCGTTCTGAGCGACTGAAAACAACAGCAAGATTGGAGGATGGCCATCGTATAGCGAGAAAAAACTATTCGTTTTCTTTAAAATACGCCAGAGTTGAATATTTTTACATTCCTCCGAATTTAATTGATTCGCTGAAACCAAAAATAAAATAAATTATATATATAAATATGTTCAAATTAAAAATTTTTTCGAGGTCGAGTAAGACGCTTACATGTTATGACATCGAAATATTTGTTTGTACACTTGTTTTAATGCGATTACAAAATGTAATACTTGATATTCTAATGATGTTAGCATATTATTATTAATCAAATCAATTAATTAATATCTTCGGTGAATGTCTATGATATTAATCGAGGTCTGAGTTTTCGAGTGAACAATTTTTGTTTTAAAATATTTACTTTTAATTCGTTTAAACCTGTGATTTAATATCACACAATCAATTTTAAAATATTCTATTAGTTAATAATTGTTAATGAAAAAATATTTTATTATTTTATTTCTAAACTTGAAACACATTTCAATGTATACGAGTAATTCACACTAATCACAACTAATCTTGATCGTAAATGGATGAAAAAATTTCCAGTAAACCATTAATCATTTGAAACAGAATTTGTTTTAGAATATTTATCATTTATAATACTATATAGGTACTAATACATCGATGTTCCGAAAGTTCAGTTCGATTCACATCTTGTGGGTATCGTAGTTTACAAATTAAGGATTAATTAATCAAAACCTATGCAAATCATATTTTTAATAACAAGAACGTTAACTTTATTTTATTGGATTAAAACAGTCAGTTATTGTCAGACGTAAGTGGTTCATTATAATAACTCACATTTTATTGTGATTTATCACTCTAAACTTTTTCAAAATTAAAATTTTAAATATGCATTAAAGTGAGTTTTTTTTTCTTTTAATTGGCAATAATATATAAATTATATAAGGGGATAAATCAATTGTCAACACGAAATGTTTAAAATAAACAACATCAATTTGTAGTTCGCTACAATAAACACATAAAGCGTCATATTTATTGCGTTCCCTCCTTGCTTCTTAATTTTATACAATTTAATAATCACATACACACATGAACTCACAATATTAATACGGTCAACGACCAATCACTCAAATTGGTTTTTTCGATGATTTTTATGATATTATAATCAACTGTCAACAGGAGTGCTAAAGACACACACGCACATAGATATTATATCTACATAATTCACGTTCATCAAAATTAGCCGTTTAGAATAATACGTACTATCGATAATCACAAATACATTTGAAATGTTCTTACATTTGTGATTGATAACTCCTTTTAACTGCCTATTCAAAAAATTTAATTTTGAACAATTTACGTCAAAAACCGCTTTAAAATTTGTCTTCTTTTTTTCCTCGTTTACAGTATAACATTCTACAATATGTACATCTAAAAGAGTATATGTATGCAAATAATTTTCTTTTCTTCGATAAGTCAAAAAACAGTTGAAAATAGCATTACGATTGGAAGCATGATGTTTTCAGCACACTATACAATGGTCTATAGGATTACACGCGAAATAATAAATTAAAATTAAACACCAACATATAAACGATTATATCACAGATGACTATGAGCTCGTATACGCAACTAGAGTGGATATTACAAAACGAATACGGATTTTCTCTGGGGATCTTCGTTTGTAGTGGAACGCCAAAAAACGAGGAGAGGACCTATTTGTCATGAAGAATTAAAAGTAAATAAATATAATTATAAACCACATTTGATCGTCCCAAGAGCTACGGTTCGGATTTCCAAACAAAAAATTCCATTGTTGCAATGTTAAAAATAAAATACTAAACTAAAATAAAATATTAGATTTTAACATTTATGTTTCATTTAAAAATAATAATAGTCACATTTTCATGCCGTTCCGGTAACCGAGGTGTAAATATTAATCAATATGAAAATAGATATATGGTCACCACCGATAATGCTCGTTTCCGAATCATATTAATAATATAGTACAATTATTGAAAAAAAAATACATACTCACTCGTAGTTCAACAAATTGTTATGTTTTTTTATTTATAAAACCACTCTGTTTAAACTTTGGCAAACGATCTAAGCTCAACAATGTCGAAGCACCTGGTATGATAACTAAAATTTTGATTATTACATAATATAGTGATATTAAATTAAATTATGTGACGTCTACTTTGATGTGTATAGATGTGTGTCTGTGTATGTATGTGGAGATAATTATATTGGTTATAGAAGAAAAAAAATGAAGTAATATTCTAACTTGAATAACCCCATTTATATATATAGTAAAAAAAAATTGTTTGTGTGGAAAAAACAAATAAAAACGCTTTATTTTTAAAAACACTGAAACAATGTGAAACACTGAAAAATAAATTGGTTCATACACGTATACACACACACACACACTAATACATACCACTCACATAATTATTAATAAGAGTCGAAATGTGAATTATTAATAGTAAGCGAAATATATTGTGACATATAGAAACACTATTATGTCGTGGATTGATAAGTTTGTTGGTGAAGAAAATAATAAGAAAATATTCAATACAGTGGTAATGAAATAAAAAATAAAAAAAATGCGTTTAAAAAAGAATAAAAGAAATCGGTTTTAAAATGCTAGTTCGATATTAAATACATATACAATATCTACCATCAAATCCACATTATATAAACAACCAAAATGAAAAGTATAAATAAAAATGATTTATAAACTTTTTGAAATACGCCTAAAAATATTTTAAAAAATAACCAAGTAATTGTATAAATACGAGTAATGAATTATATTAAAAATGTATTTTTATAAAATATAAAAAGAATATAATACCATCCTGGAAATCATTGATAACTTTTATTTTATTCCCTTTGAAAAACAAAAACTCTTTCAACATTTGTTTCGAATTACTAAATACACTCGTATTAATTTTTCTAATTCTACTGGTTTTCACAAATTCAATTTTTACTAATAATATTTTATTATCATTGAAAAACGATTATCAGATATATTGTAACGCATTTATATATTATAATATATATATTCAAATAATACATACAAGACTTATACATTTTACTATCATATTTTATCCTAACATCGATAAATCAAAATTGCAGAAATGTCGAAAAATACTTACTATTTATGATTTTTACTTCTCAACTACAGTAGTATTAAAATTATTAAAATTACGTGACACATCAACCATTTAAACATAAAAATATTAGTTTCGCGGAACAAAACTACCAGGTATCAATATATAGCAGGGCCGTCCTTAAGATTTATGAGGCTCAGGGCGAAAACACCTTTTAGCCATTCTCTCTCTTTTTATTCAACCTTATGATTGGTTCGCAGTCGGATATGCGCACTCCACTCTTCCTTATTTCCAGTTTACATCTTCAATTCAGTATAGTATGGTTTTACTATAGACTATAATGACATTTTTGTATTATTTACTCATATTAAATTCATTAATCTTCACTTATTGACATTTCTATAAATTTTCATTAATTTATAAAATAAAAATTAACATACAAACACCAAAAAATAACATAAAAATAATTTTATTCATTATTCATCAATTTTATTATATTACGGGTGCGCATTCACATGTAAGCACTCATACTGTAATCCGTATCGTCGTTGACCTATGGAGGATTAAAACTGGGGCACAGTACAGAATATCATGTCTACTCAACAATCGTTTATCATAACTTTCTTGCCACTATTTCAGTCAAGATAATATAAACAATGGTGTCGCTAAATTGAAAGCATAGCGAAAAACTATTTTATTTGCATTTTATGTTCATAACCTCGAGTTTGGAAATATGATAAACGACGAAACTATTATTTTTTATTTGATCAGTCGCACAAACATTTTTATCATTGGTATTGTACCCATTATCCCGAACTTGGAAGAGATCGTTTCAAAACTTATACCATGTAGAATAATTTTAAAAATAATATTAATAAGTTTAAATTAGTATAATCTGTCTCCAATTTCCGATCTATAAAAATAAGTCGATTTTACGAAGAAACTTTTAGAGCACTTGTTTACGAACGTACAGTGAAGAAAAATAAATAAGTGTATAATATTTGAAACACCAAGAATTTCCTTCTTAGAATCAAAAAAACCATAAAATATTGTAACAAAAAATTAATGTCGTTCGAATTTCAAAACGCATTAGCCGAATTATACTCGTAATCTAAGATAGTTATTATTTTATAAAAAAAAAAAAAAACGTTTTTGTAAATCTCGTTAAACACAAATAGTACATATATGTCAGTTTTTTCTATGTTTATGGTTATAATATCAAAGTACAATTATTAAACAATAATTTTGTTTTAAGAATTATTTAATAGCCAAAATTCGGATGAAAAATAAATTATTTATATTCGGATGAATTTCATACATATAGGAATATTTTAAATAAAAATATATCGGAATAAACCTCGCACCATGGAAATGTGTAAATATGCAGTTTGTAAATTCCTTTCATGTATTCGTGTAATAAATGCAAAAGCACAAATGGAATACTAATCAAGTAGTATTTTCAGATGAAAAAAATTAATTTAAAAATCTGGAATATATTTTAGGCGATTTAAAAAAAAAACATGAAATTAAATAAAAATATATATTATATTACATTTTTAATATATCATTTATTTATATTTATTTACAACTAATTTATTCATTTTTAAATGGATATTTCATTGTCTTACATTTTTGTATTTAAACGTTCATCATATTTTTCACAAAAATTGTTATGTTGTTATGACAGTTAGTGTTGTTCATAATAATAAGTCGTATTATTCTTTAAGTATATAACATTTAGGAGTTGTTAACGAACCTCTGAGACTTATAATTATTCCCATAGCTGATTTAAAAACGGAAAATGAATTAACAAACAATCCACCAGCTGATTTAAAAACGGAAAATGAACAAAACAATCCACCACAATACGTAATCCACGAATTAAAATTCAATTTAATTTTAATTAACAATACTATTTCGTTCATCGGTGGATTATATTGTAACCGATACGTGTTGTTCACAAACCAAAAAAAAAAAATATCAATACAAAAACGGAAATTAGAATAAA